ATCAGACAAGTTCTTGTTAAAGTAGGTCTGTAAGAACTTATTAGTAGCTTGTAAATACATAATGTATTCATTCTTTGCTTTGATACTTTTCCTCTTGTTTTCTGAGTACCTWAGTTGATGCTGTCAATAAAAAAATACATCATCAATAATAATGTATATAATATATATGATATAACTAGTTTATTTCATGGAAAGTGCAATGTACAGTACGGGATTTTATTCGCGAGTTGTTTGCATCATGCAATGAACTAGCAAGGAACGAGCGAGTGAGTTTATGAAGCAAACAACATTAAGCACATTTTTAGACATTCCATAAAATCATCATTCAATTGTTAATCAACACTCAACTCAATATATCATTAACACTCTTTGAAAGGCAACCCTCTAAGAATAAACCATGTTGTACTATCATGTCAAATAATGATCTTGATCACCTCTATTTCTGATTTAAACAAAAATTGTCCATCTTTTTGTTTCTTTGTGATCTTAGGTTTTGTGAATAGAATTACTTATGTCTGGAAAATGGGACTCAAAAAAATCTATGATGATCCTCTCTTCATTCTTGTTGCCATGGCGATTAAGTATGTCCTATATGATGATCATGATTGTGATGTCAATATTTCAACAATCCCATGTCGTAATAATTCTGAGATGATTTGTTAATACCTTTTCTTTTTGTTTTGTCATTTTATCATTCTTTCTTCCTGATTCTTCTGATTTTAGTAATTGATGCTCTGTACTCTTTAGTTTGGCTTCAGCTGCCTTGGTTTCTGCTACCATGGTGTGGTATTTCCTTTGTTTCTGCAAAGACAAGATTCATTAAATCGCATCTGCTAAATAATTGTACTTKAGGGAAATGTCATAATACACCACAAATTAATATTTAAAACTTTAAAAAATACGATATACTTTTTTAATCTTAACATGTTTCAGCATTACATTATGCCATCCTCAGAAGAATGAGAATAAAAGTCGTTACAAATGATTATATAGTCTAGGTACAAATGATATATAATCATTTGTAACGACTTTTATTCTCATTCTTCTGAGGATGGCATAATGTAATGCTGAAACATGTTAAGATTAAAAAAGTATATCGTATTTTTTAAAGTTTTATTATCTCTAGTGCTACTACGAAACTATGGTAAAATTAATATTTATTGTACAAGAAAATTTCATCTTACCCTATGGAGTTCAGTGACAACTCGCAASAGTTCTTCTTGAAGAACAAACCCTGCTTCTCGACACTAAAAATAGTCAAAATGATAACACAARATGTTAAAGATTTTCTTTCTTAGAACTTTGTGAGTAAAGTGACACTCACAAGTGAAACTACACAAAGTGATTACAATCCATATTTTGCAGTTTGGCCAGTCAAATGTTTAAATGCTGGATATTTGGTGAAAATCAAATGCCGGACATTATGTTCACCTGTCTATCTACTGTATGTAAAGTRCCCTTAGAGCGGATTTCGTATGAGTAGGAAACGGACGGTACTGTACTGTGACCGTAATCGTACTGTAACCAAATTCTAGTGCCCCATTGGT